ACCTCCCGCGTCGTCCACCGGGCACGTAAAAATAAAAACGGTCAAACTCTGAGACGAGATGGGATTTAGGGACATGTGTCCCCGCCCTGCACGATCTTGGTGTGAGGGATCTTCAATCCGTCCCCTCACCCCTGGTCACTACCCGACACTAGAAGAGCAGCAAGAGTTGGGGCTGCGGCTACGGCTGCGGCTGCGGGAGGGGCTAGAGTATGCGGTCGCGGGAGAGCCGCTGCGCCGCGTGGGCGCGCCTACACCGCGCTTGCTCCGCTCGCCACCTCTCGCAAAGGTCCAAAGTCATAGCCATCACCTCCTCCGGCAAGTCCTTTTCGCCTATCTCGCCGTCCCTCCATGCCTGGTATAGAGCGCTCGTCGTCCGATAGCCATATGGTATAATGATTTCGAAATCCATAATTGTTATTGAGCACGACACGCGACACGGAGTTTATTTATGTATGTAAAAGAGGAGTGCAGTCGAGAGGACAGGGGAGGGACGCGGCCAGAAAGTGGGCGGGCGCCGAGGTTCGAAAGCCGGCGCTTTCGCGCGTTCGAAGGCTTTGTCTCGGAGTTTGTGCAAATTTGCGGTTGGCCTTCGCCCTGCGGCAGGTCACCTCACCCCTGGTCACTACCCGACACTAGAAGAGCAGCAAGAGTTGGGGCTCCGGCTACGGCTGCGGCTGCGGGAGGGGCTATGGTCGCGGGAGAGCCGCTGCGCCGCGTGGGCGCGCCTAGTACTAGAGCTGTCAAACGTTAAGAGCTGAACAGTGTTGCTAGTGTTAACAGTAACAACAGAACAACAGTGGGGCTCCCCAACAACAGTAGCTAACGTTAGGCCAGCTGAACAACAATAAGGAAGGCCTGGCAGTGACCCACGACGATCTCCAGCGTCCAGTGCGGGTAATACCCGAAAATACCTGGAAAACCCCAGGTATTTTCGGGTTTTACCCGGGTTTTTTGGCATTTTCTGCTTGCTGACCACTGAACAACAGTAACAACAGTAACAAACAGTAACAGCTTGGGCTGGGGAGAACACTTGAACAACGTTGAGGATTTTCAGCCAACAATAGTGCAACTGTTAGGCCCAAAGTTAACGTTTGACAGCTCTAGCGCCACACCGCGCTTGCTCCGCTCGCCACCTCTCGCAAAGGTCCAAAGTCTAAGTCATAGCCATCACCTCCTCCGGCAAGTCCTTTTCGCCTATCTCGCCGTCCCTCCATGCCTGGTATAGAGCTCGTCGTCATAGCCATATAATGATTTAATGCCATATTGAATTCGATATATATTGTTAAAGCCGTGTATATTGAGAGCGCACGACACGCGCGAGACGGAGTTTATTTATATTCGTGGAGCTCCGTGTTGTGTCGTATATTCAAAAGCTTTGAGGGAGAGACAAGGCGGTCAACGTAGTACGCCAGGCACGTCGGAGGGTACTCGAAACGGAGACGCGCTACATGAAATCGAAATCGTCGTTCGCCCGCCAACCCCCGCCTCCGCCATCGCCCTCGAGCCCTCCAAAGTCGTTGTCCACGTCCTTGCCCATGGCGATCTTGATCTTGCCCTTGGTCTTCTTGCCCTTCTTGTCCTTGTCGCGGTCCGCCTTGACCTTGTCGTTGTACAGCACCGACGCAAAGGTCGAGAGCTCCTTTGCCTCGTCGGTCGACATGCCCGCTGCCGCCTTGCGCAGCAGGCACTTGAGCACGCTCATGTGGCCGGTCTTGCCCTCGTACGGGCGCAACCGCTCCGCCAGCGACTCGGCCAGCTTTTCGTAGTCCTTCTCGCTCTTCGCCACAAAGTCCGCGCCCAGGTCGCCAACCTTTGGCGCCGGCCGCACCGCCTCGGACGGCTTGGCGGCGGCGGGCTTGGCGGCGGCGGGTTTGTTCGGCGGTTTGGCCGCGGGCGCGGGCGCGGGCGCGGGCGTGCCGACACTCGTCTCCGCCATGTCGAGGCCGAACGCCGCCGCCGCGTTGTCAAAGTCGGACGCCTCCTGCTGCAGCTTCCTCAGCGCGCGCTCGCGCGCTTCGCCGGTGAGGCTCGGGTCGATCTCGGTCGAGACGCCCGCCCTCTCCCGCAGCGCCGCCATCCGCGCCGCCTCCTCTGCCTCGCGCGCCTCGCGCGCCTCGATCTTCTTCTCCAGCTCGGTCTTCTCACGCGGCGCCGCCCGCGGGGCGGCCACCGGCACGCTCGCCGGCTCCGCCTTGTCCGGGTCGTGCGCCTCCTCGTCGGACCACTCTGCCTTGTCCTCCTCGCCCTTCTGCGGCAGGGACAGGTCCGCCGCCTCCCAGTCGTCCTCGCTGTCGTCCCAGGCCATGCCCTCGTGGGAATGGTACGCCGCCGC